AAAAAGTGATATTTTCGATTTCTTGTTAAAAACCACAAGTCCGATTGCTTTGATATTACATATATAGGTACTACATGTGGACCTCTCTCAGATTTGTTCATTTTGTAATGATAACGTCAGTTCTCTAATTTTGGTGAATATTTTTGTCATTTTTGGTAAAAAGTGATATTTTCGTTTCTTGTTAAAAACGACAAGTCCAATTGCTTTGATATTATTACATATATAGGTACTACATGTGGACCTCTCTCAGATTTGTTCATTTTGTAATGATATCTTGTCATTTTTGGTAAAAAGTGATATTTTCTTCTTGTTAAAAACCACAATCATTTATGGTGAAAAATGATATTTTTGAATTCTTGTTGAAAACAGCAAGTCCCATTGCATTTATACTATACGTATTGTTCATTTTCTAATGATATCTTCTGTTCTTTAATTGAAATGTGCATTGCTAACAGCGGAGCTATCTCAGCCGAGAGGCTGCTTGTTGGTTCTTTCCATTGGTATGGCCCTAGGAATCATGGGAGTCCACTATTGCAAACATGGCCATCACAGACATATTATCATTTTATTTTCCAATAGAAGCTTGTCTACCAGTATGATGTCTGCCTCTGATTTGTCTCATTCATTTTTTGAAAAACAGAGCAGATTTCTAAAATGAAGATCGGGAAGGGGCATGTAATTTTTTATTGGTTTAACCAGATAAGGGTTATTGACCAAATATATATGCGCATAAAAAGAGTGTGTTATTCACACTATGACCGAGTTATTTTTCTTGCTTACAGAATATAAAGATGTGTTACAGTGTGAAGAGTTGGTATTGAATACAGTAGCAACGATCAATAATTTATCATACTATGGTAAAAAGACAACTACAATCTCAGAAAGACAGATAGAGATATCAGAATGTGAGTAACATATTATACACTAACTGATGGATATTTTGTTCATTTATTATAAAAACCACATCATGCTGGTTTTTCCCATCATTGTGGTCTAGTGTGGTTTTCACAACATGTAGTTGTGAGTTTATTTTAACCCACTGGTGGAAAACATGTTAACCCAGTCTTGACTGGGGCTGGCCTCAACCCAGAGATGAGACACATGTGAGCAAGGTCTCAGGGTTAAAACAATGGCAATGTAATGGTAGGTGAATAAGGTATGAAACTATGTAGTAAGTGTAAACTGCTTTGATGTATGCACCTAACACAGGTTTACCTCACTGATAAGGAATGTTTACAAAGCAATCTAGCTCTGTTTCTCAGAACACATGTGAACAAGACTCGTTTAAAAAAACAATCGCTGGGTATATTCTCTTGTTTAAATTCTGTGAAGTGCTCTAAAGGTTTGTAATGATGCTATTATACAAGTTGTTTAGAAAGTGATTTATAACATCATATTTTTGTACATCAGTTCTTCTTTGCAATCTTAACAGTATAGACTTGTGATTACATCATGTCACGAGGTCCAATAATGTTAGATTGTGCTTTGAGTATGAAATGCTAAAACTACCCTTGCCAACAGGGTATGTTGAATTAGTGTCCATTATCTGTTGATTTTTTTATCCATCATCAGAGGGGGGTGACATCATTAATCAATAATTAATTTTCTATTTTACTAGTGTTGGTAAAAATATTGATGACAGATAACATGGATGGAATGATAGAAGCATCAAGAGTGTTTGGAAATCTATCGCGTAATCTACCAGTCAGAGAATTTATCTCAGAGAAGAAAGGTAAACAATTCTGATAATAAACGTAATAACCTACAACAATTCTCAGTATCTTGAATATGACAGTGTGCCATTTTGCAATGCTTTTATCATGGTACATGCAATGAATCATGGGAAAAGGTAGACAGCGGAGACTATTGCACCAAACAACAAACTTTGAAAATGTAATTCAATGTTAGTTTGTAATCTAACAAAACGAGTATTATTGTGGAACCCGAGAAATTCAAAAGTCACATCATCACTGCCCAATTGCTGTATTTGCCCTATTAGAAGTGCAATATAATTTATTGTGTAATGGATTATGAGCCTTGTAGACTGATTACAGTGTTCTATTGTCTATAGTTGATGAAATGATGGTTACATTGCTGGATGCCGGTAATCGTGAAGTTGTCTACATTGCATGCGGTGTGCTTATTAACTTGATGATTGATGAAAAAAGAAGACCAAAACTTAAAGATGAACGAGGAATTAAAAAGTAAGTCAATAAATACATCAAGTGCTTTTGTGTAATTAATAATATGAAGGCAACAGCATTCACTTTGACAACTTTATAGATTACGCCTAACGCCCACAGTAGTGAACAGCCTTTCTTTTGCTGATGTATGTCAAGAAAGCACTTCGCCACTAGAGAGCAGAATTTATCAGAAAGGTGTTACAGTACTGATTTTCTTTTCAGTCTTTAATGATGTGATCTAATGTTAGGACTGGTGTTGAATAGTCACTTTGCAACGCTAGTGAAACATTTATCTTATCCTCAATATTGATAGTGTCAGAATTAAAACAACCTGATTTGATCTTATGAAATGCCGTCGAGATGTGCGCACCTACCATCCTTGCTATTGAATATGCCTGTTTTAATGACCCCAGTGAAATATTCAAATATGATTTGTTTAGACTGGTCACATCAAACAAGAATGTGACATGTTTTATGTTTGTACTAAGATGATGTTGGTTCTTTGCAGATTAATTGATGTACTTCGTGATTTTGGTCGCAATGATTGGCAGTTAGCTGGTATGGTGTGCATGACATTGTGGAACTATAGCGAAAAGATTACAACATCGTCTTTAGCATTTGGTGAACAGGAAACAAATCAACTGATAGAACTGTTAGAAGAATATCTCGGTAAGAGACATTGCACTTCTATCCTATATGCATCATATAATACATTCAAGTCAACATTTCAGTAAGATTAGTCATGATGGATCAGCCAAAGTATTACTTCTGCTTATCATGAGTTCTATGTTGTAGAGAACTTGGATGGAGTCAACCAAAAACTGTACATTACTGTAAACTGCTTTAAGGTAGAAGCCTACTCATAAATTAAAAAAAAAACTGAATTTTGCAACAAACTGTACTCCAAGGCAATATAAGGATATTGACTTAAAAAAAGTTATTATTAAAGCCTTATTTTCGAGAAATTGATGGTTTTATTTTAGTGGATTTATGACCAATTTTGTCAATAATTATGAGTAGGCTTCTACCTTAATTTCACAAGAGAAACTATTTTCACAAATTTCGTAGCAGTGAAAATACCTCTGGGGGTCCTACGACAGGTTATGTCAGATGACTTTCGCAAAATTTTGTTTTCACGAATGCCATAAAATCATTAAAACAGTGATAATTAAAGGGGAACCACTCAATCCCATGGATTGCACCACATGCTCATGGGTAATTACTCACTCGCTAACTCAAACTGTGATTGACAAGCATTTTGCATACATTAGCTGCCATTTTAAAATCAGGATTCTTACTTGTCGCGGCACGTTTTGACCAAAAACAACAACATTTATTCATCAAAAGCCCAACGAGATGAGTGTAATCGCTAGCGTACATATTCATGCCCCCGTAGAAATGAATTTGGAATCACAGCTTGATCTTTAAACATCGTAAATGTCACATTTTCCGGAGCTCCCGCCACGATGTGAGCGGCTTGATTCGGATTAGCATACTAATTGCGGTGGCCATCTTGCCCCTATTTATAGTATCGGTTCCCCCTTAAGTGATTTACAGTGATGTTGCAAACATTCTTTTAATCTCACAATTCCATTGATTTATGTTTCAATATGGGTCCCATGCGACATTTTTGCTTACCCAAAATTCAGACACTCACTGCACAAAGACTGTGACGATCTAACCAACCACTTTACTTAGATTTACTTGTTATTAGTATGGCTATTATAAGACCTAATACATATGCATAACGGATATGCTATGGCTTTCTTTCCAGATGAAGAAACTGCAATTGATGTTCCTAGTAATGCTGATCTTGATGAAGAAACAAAAGATTTCTTGAAATCCGTGTGGGAAAGGGATTTCTGTCCAGTGGCACATCAGTTATTGAATAGAGTTGAAAAACATCACACCGATCTTGTGCCTCTTGAGCAACCTGATGATGAACGATATGTAAATGAAAGACAAAAATAGATTAGCAGTCATCAATGTAAAATATTCCCTGCTAAAAAGCACATGCCGTCCTTCTTAAACTGGCGCATAAATACTTTTAGCGTGTTGTGGTTGTTAAACTGCCCTTTTTATATAAAATAAAAAGATGTTTTGAGACTGAAAATGCTTTTATGAGATATGAGGCTAGTACAGTGTGTCTTCTGTGATGAGCTGTATAAATATACCTTAATATTAGTCCTAAAAATTCAGTCTTGTGAACTTTAACTGGGTCCAGGGTCCTTGATGTGCTTATCTTCATTCCATTTGCTTGATTCATTGGAAGTAGTGTTTTTAATACAATGAATTTGAATATTCCCCTGGATTTGTTGTTACTTGCTAAAGTCCAGGAGTGTAGCAGACGTCCACTGGTATAGTGGCTGTTTTTTTCTCTTTATTACATGTACCGGTACTTACAACATGCTAAAATAAAGCATAGTGTGTAAGATCACAAATCTTTAGTGTAGTACTGGTGTAATATCATAAATTTATTGTGGGTGGTTCATCTAGAGTTCCCCTGTGAAGGGAAAAAATGTTGGGCAGGAAGCTGAAATGTTGTTATACTGGTACTTTGAAAGTGCTGTATAACATATTGTATTAATTAAACTCAATTCTCGTACCGAGTGACAACAGTAAATTGCTTGCGGTATACCTTGATATATTGCCTACTTGTCTTGAGACTCTTTACCTTGCTACTTACAACCTTGACTAGGCCAGTAAATCATTTACAATCTATAATAATTGTGACTCACCTTGCAAATAGAATCAGTCAGACGTCCACTTTTATAGAATTCTGAACTTTATTCTCAGCAGTCTTAGTTTTTACAAGAATGTATGTACTTAAATAAACCAGCTAGTAATTATATTCTTTGAACTAAAATTAATTCAGAAACTCAAATTCATATAATTTTCTTCTTGAGTTTTATTAATTGGCGAGTCAGTTGACCCAGTCTGGCTTCTTGTTATTTCCAACTGGTCAGTTAATCCAGTTAATGTGTAATCTTGTGGTATTGTGTTTCCACTGATGTTCTGTAAGTGGATTATATCTTTCTTACCACATTATTCAAACTAAATTAGTCAAGTTTATATCTTTAATGAGAATCATTTTTTTTTAATAAGTAACTTTCTGTCAACTGGAAATGAATTATCTTCTTTTACTGTAGTTCAAACAAACAAAATTACTAATCTCAATATTTATCAGTATAAAAGAATTCATCTTTCTACCAATTCTTCTCTTTAAAATATTTAAAATACTTTTACAATGTTAGAAAACAGCAGATTCTACAAGTGTTTAGTGCTGTGGTTATTACCGGTACACTGTGTATTTGTTAATTCTAGTAAGGTATGCATGAATTCCCATTCCATCCATTATTTTGTCAAGCTGGTCTTGCTTTCTAGCTTTAATGTAAATTTTATATTGTTCCAATTCTATTATATATGTATTGCAATATGCTAAAATCCAATTAACCCTAATAATGTTATTAATGGCACCACATTGGTCCAGGTGTGTATATTTTTGTACATAAATTGTAGTGCCTCTGAGATGTGTAGTTAATTTGAAGTAGGATGTCTGGAAAATTCCTACAAGTATTCTTTATATTTTATTTCTCTAATATAGATGGATTTGTTGACTCATTGTTGAGGTTTATGTATAAATGTAAAACAGTTTCCCTCCCTTTTGTTACACTGCATCTTAAGGTGTCACTATGACAACAGAACTTCAAAGTACTTAAATTAAATTAACTGAAGGTTGCTTGCTTGATATAAAAATACATTATTGGCTGTTGATCCACAAATTATTCTGACATCCATCTACAATATGGACTCATTATTGTTTGAAGCGTTGCATTTTGTATAACATTTAAATATACAATCAATAGTTGGCAGTAAATAGCTTATTGCATGTCTTTATCTTCACATAAACTCACCATTTGCAGTATAATGCCGTCCTTTTTTATTCCTTCCAATATATATGTGAACCTCAATAATTTGATAACACTAAGGCCTGCAATGTCTACCAAGAAGTCATTAATGAGATAAACAGCTCTCATTACAAGTTAGCTCATATAGAATCTATTTTTGGAGACAGTGCAGGATGCAGGTTTATTTAAACTTTTATTGTAATATTTGTCTAGTTTCAGCTTATATTGTGTCTGCAGTGTGAATTGTTTATCAGACTTTGCTGTATTGTTTTACAAGCTTTCAAAATAAAAAAAAGAACCTCAAATGTTTGTTTATTTTATTCACTGCATGTCACCCCTTGTTTGCCTCATCTGAATGTCAACACGAGTATCGAGAAATCTTCACTCAAATAAAAAAATGCAATTGCGCCGCCTAGTGGTGAGATTATTGACATTGAATTCCGATAACTGAATCTCTCACTGGCGCTTTCTATAACTTCTATAACAAAGAGGGCACAGTGATGTGATACCAATTAACGAACATTTATTCGATCAAGGCTGAGTTCATGACATTTGCCACGAATATTGCTACTTTGTTAGCAACACAGTGTGCTATATATGTATTACTATTCTGCCGGCTGGGTTGCTTTTCCATTCAAAGTAAATCCCAACGATCGGAAGTTGTGACTTTACCCGTTTTTGCATTGGTAACATTTCAGGTCTGTGGTCTACCATAATATAGAGTATTTAGAATATTTTAAAACTCATTGGAGCGTGCGACGAGATCCGGTCTATAATGCAATAGTGTGGAAGATGACAAGCTGGTGCTGATATTGTCTAGAGCTTCGTTGTAGGGAATAGTTAACAAAGGGTTATGAAAAAAACACAATTGACCATCCGTCTGCTCGCTGATACAACTGACAATGAAAACAGAGTGCAGAGACGGCCGATGTCAAGGGTCACGCAAAAAATCACTATACTATTATTACTAATACCATTCATTATTTTTTCCGAGTAGAACTGAGAGGGGGAAAACCACAAAATAAGCTGCGATCTCGCAGTATTTGCTGCTGAATCATTTACATCCATTCTCCTCACCGACATTTCTAATGGTCAACCCTGTAGTGGGCATTATGCTTATAATTAGTTTCTCGCAAGAATATTGCAAGAGGGCGCCAGTCTGGTATAATTTACACTTATCGTTCAATAAGTATAAGATAGAATAAATTGAGGATTACAAGTACAAGTGTATCAAGCTCCTTAACACTTACTTATCTACATTATTTTGATTTATAGAATCCATACTATGGTACGTGACTTGAATATTGTTGTAATCCTTATGGTAATCAGACAGCCATATTGACAATCGATCCCTGAACACATGACCGTCAATCATTATAATATTAATGTAATAAGGCCACAAAGGCACGGTTGTAATTATAGCTCAATTTAATTGGTCACATGCTCTCAGAAAATAACATATACACCTGTGTTGTTTTCAAATGCATTTCAGCCTTTCTTTGGCTGCCATGGTTAGTACTTCCGCCTTAATCGATCCATCTACTCCAAGGTTCAATGATACAGACACTAATCCATGCAACCTGATTCGGAGCCGCATCATTTCACTCGGGTATGAATACTGCATTCCACCATCACTTTTTTTAGAAATGTTATATTAATATGCGACGATCGCAATCGTCTCAGGGTATGGAGTCATGTCATGGACAATTATTTATTGAGTTTTTCCGAGCCACACGTGTCTGATACTTCTGACTACCACCTTAATAGTTTATGCAGCGCGGTACCAGTAATTAAAACCCACCCTAGCGATTTTCGACCAATCAGAATGCTCCATTGCAGTAGACTCGTACCTTATCCCTTGTGCCAAGACGAACCACTAACCATGTTCTACTGTGTTGAGTCACGGTTACAAGAACCGTGGCTGAGTAGATGCCAGGATACTGTGATGTGAGAGACATGCTGCCAATAAACTATATACAAAAACGATGTTGTTCATTGGCCTACTGGTATATAATGAATTGAATTAGATCATGAATATTCATAAGCTGATTATTTATAGAGAGCTTGTGTATAAGGTCTACCTGTCACAATTTCAGTATGTAAATTGAGTGGAAAAAAATGTTACACATGAATTTTGAAAAGTCAACGTAAACGTGTACTGCGTAATGAGCGTTTCGTGACTTTTATAGCAAGTTCATTTGCAAATACGGATATGACCCCTTTACCAGGCCTCACTAAATGTCTTCAGGAGCAGAGAATTTCCCCAAACGTGCGATGTCAAAGACACACTGCCAATGAACTATCTAAATAAATTGGCTTGTACAATGTTTCGAGTTAGATCATGAATAGCTGGCCAGTTATGCAGATCTCGCGTATCAAGTCCACCTGCCACAATTTTAGTGTGCAAATTGGGAAAAACATTGACCGAAAAATTCAACTCTCGTGTGCACGTAAACATTTCCTGCATTCATTCACGCATTGCGTAAAGAACTTTTACGACTTCCAAGTTGAAAATATATATTTCGTGCAGAATTGTTGACATGCCTCCCTAAATGCTTTCAAAGTGTGATAATTTATCAAAATACACATCTATAGAATGTTTGGGCATTTGGATTTAAGGCAGATAACGCCCTCATACTCCAAAAATGTAAAATCCGACCGAGATAAAAGGCGAGGCCGCAACCCCAATGTACTGTGCATGCGTTGGATGCGTCGCGTGGGGCTTACAGAGAACTAAACTCTTATTCCGTGATAATAACGAGTAAACCTTTTCCAGTACATACCAACCAATGTGGCAGTCATCACCACAAATGCAAAAAATAAACAGTGTGTTGCCTTAAATAGCGTTACCATGGCGATTAACATTGGTATATAATTGCAATTCGCCAGCAAGGTGATTACAATATGCATACTTATTATGTTATTAATATTTCCAAAAGTGGTTACAATAACGTGTTGAGATGAGTCATTCGAGTAAACGAATATGTACCATTAATCTGGCGCCAATCGGACAGGAAATGTCTTCAAATATTACGTCAAGCAATAATGGAAATGTATGTCATT